ATATATATATATATATAATGTAGTCACTTTTGATAGCAACATAGTATGAAAAGGACAAAATGACAAGGTTAACTGGAGCAGAGACAAGCTCAGCACGACAGTTCTTCTCTACAGTCGCACAATTCCTATCCCACATTTTTACCAAATCTCCATCCTACCCTATGTAGTACTTACGCCCTCCGCGGCCACCATCACCCCCAGCCCCATTTATGACGGCGACCACCTTCTGGGCAGGGATGTGAATTCAGCCCCATTTCCACGGACAACCGACTAGAACGTCGCAGGGGTGACTGAGTCAGGGAATAGAGAGATCACACAGAAAGTGAGAAATAAGACACAAGTTTTCAGGTGTGTGTTGGAGGGAGGGCAGAGTCTCACAGTGGGGTCTAAGGTGCGGATGGGGGACCGGGAAACCTGGGGCGAGAGAAAAGGGTCTCGAAGGGCAGGCAGGGGTCCAAAAGGGAAGATTTGAGAGAAGTTCTGATCACAGGAGTCAAAAGAAAAATGCCAGCAGGTCCCCTCGAGAACAACCGGAGGAAAGGAACTCGCGGGGCCCCTGCACCCCGAGGCAGCGCCAGGGTCCTGGCGGCGCAGGAAGCCGGGAACTCACCACCTGGTAGCGGCCAGTCCCCGGCTGGTGGAGGTCCATCCTGCCCGGCTCGGGATCCGGCTTCTGAGCAGGAGAGTCCCCTCGGTGCTCAGCTCTCTCGGCCACCCCAAGCGACGGCGTCTTCTCCGCGGCTCCCTTTCCGCCCCGGTTTCTGCCGCCGCGGTCGTCCGGCCGGACCTCCTCACTTCCTGTCGCTCCCGCAGCCGCCGCAGAGACCTCCGCGTCGGTCACGGCTCCGTGGAGAGGCTCCGGGGCGCCGCGCGCGCTACTGGGCATGCTCGGGACCACGGCGCATGCTCGCTGGGTCCTCCGGCGCCCCATCCGCGCCGCGGGTGCAGGGGTGTCGCTGCGAGGGAGGAGATGGCAAAGTAAGACCGGGAGCTTTCTCGGTTGTCAGCCCGTCCGGTGGGCGGTGGCACAAGGAGCGGAAAAAAAAATTAGCAAACACACACACACACACATACACACGCCGTCCTGATTGGTCTATTCCTCGGGCACGAGCTTTGCGCTGACACAAGCGAGCGCACGATCACACCGTGGGGACTGAAGTGGACCAGGGAGGGGACGCATTCCTGGAACACCTGAGGGCAGGTCGCCCATTTGCCCAACCCTTCCTCCTATTACTCACCCCGCCTCGGTCCTCGCGGGGGATCCATCTCTAGGACGTTCCTAACATGCTCGTTAATGAGACAAGGGATTTCTTAGAAGACTGTTTTTCAGAGCAGTTTTAGGTTCACAGTAAAATGGAGAGGTACAGAGTTAGCCTGTGTGCTCCCTGCTCCCACACATGCACAGCCTTCCCCCTACCCCGTTATCAACACCCCCCTCTAGAGGAATGAGGACACGTTTTACAGCTGATGAACCCACGTCATTATCACCCAAGTCCATAGTTTACCTTAGGATCCACCCTTAGTGTTCTTCGTCCTTGGAGTTAGGACAAATGGGTATTCTCTGTCATAGCAGTTTACAGAGTATTTTCACTTCTCTGAAAGACCTTTGGAATTATTTATTTGTCGCCTTCTTGGTAGCAAGAGATTTAAGAATTCTACAGACTTATATATTTCACAAGCAAGAGGCCTCTGAAGTTCTAGGTTACTGGAAGGAGAAATTAATGAAATGATGTAGGACTGTTTATGGTAATACTCAAATCAATCATTTCAGAGCGATTTAGCAGGACTTTGTGTGGAGCGTTGTGTGGAGTTGTAGTAATCTGTCTAGTTAACCCCACGCAACCTACTGTGTGCGAGTCTCTCACAAAGGGCACAAAGTATGTTTCTAGCCAGTACAACATGATGGGGCACCAAAACAGTACTTTTTAACCCAAAAATCTGCTGTCTATGCCTTTTTGGTTTGTTCTTAGAATTATTTTATTTAACTTTATTTATCCATTTATTTATTTATTTCAATTTGACCAGAGAGGGACAGAATGAGAGAGAGAGAAACCAAGCTGCCAGGGCCAGGCCTCAAGCCCCTGTCAGCCATGTGAGAGTCCAATACCCTTCACCACCACACCACCAGCTGGCCCCTCTGCTGTCCTGCTGTCTATACGTTGAAAACTATGATCCATATGATCTGGTCTAGCTATCTTTTCTCTTTTTTTAACATAGTGGATCCCTTTTTCAGTAAATGATCTCCCACTGGAGCACTCAAAGGAGGAAGAAGAAGGATCTGGAGCCTCACTTCGCTCAACGTCCAGAGAAGGGTTTTAAAGTGAAAAGGTCCTTGGATAAATATGATTGGCTGGTTAAAACAGAGATATGGGGACCAGCAGATGGCAGAATGGTTATGCCTCTGGACTCCCACATAGTACACAATGGTTCAAGTCCCTGACCTGGTGGCTTAAAAACTCATCCCCAGTCTGTGCCCAAAGTCCCAAGATTATACTTTGGCCATCCCCTAGAGGGTGATTTCTCACTTTCTGTCTCTCAGGCAAGCTCACGTGCCCTATAGCAAAAATCACCCTAAAAAAATAAAAGCAAAATATGGACCAGGCAATGGTGTGAAAAGGTCCTTGGACAAATATGATAGGTTGGTTAAAACTGCATGATATGGGCCAGCTGATCCCACCTGGCTGACAACACAGTTCAAGTCCCTGATCAGCGGCTTGAGAAACAATGGGTACTTGTGCTGGCATGCCCAAAATCTGGAGAGGAGCAGGGATTGCTGTATGACCAGCCCCCACTGGGGAATACTTGTCCACTTCCTCTCTCTCTCTCTCTTTCTGGAAAGAGCATGGACTTTATAGCAAAATTTAATAAATTTTAAAAAGCAAGATACATTAAAGATGAAAACTTATTGAGAAATCAACTACAAATTTGAGGCTTCCTTATGGTTCGTAAAGCATTCATCAACTCTTCCTATTTTTGCCATCTTGACACATCTAGTGGTAGAAAGCATTACTAGACTAACAATAGAAGAAATATCATCATACTTAAATTTCTTTAAGCTTGTTTTTTTTCCTAAATGCATTTTAGAATCTAAGACAATAAGCATATGTCATTTTGTCAGTTTGATGATTTGATTGGTTTACGCACTCGCCCTCACCATTTCACCACAGATGGTATTGCCTTTCATCTAAACAACCACCAGTGTCAGCAAAGTAAGCTAGATTTCTACATCACTTATTGTCTGTAAACTTCATTTAGAACTCAATTTTTTACTTGCTTCCGTTTTCATGAATCACTTTTTATGTTCACTTGTGTCTCAAGTAGACTGCTGTTCAGGGCAGAGGTCATTTTTCACACCCAGCACCCCAGCACAGCACTGAGAACACACATAACAGTACAGTGAAAACCAGAGACCTAACCAGAAGAAGACATCTTGAATCCCGTTAGTGTAACAGTCTTTCAGTTTTGCTCTCCTCCTTTGTTCTGCGAACATTTTGCTAACCCAGCAAAGTAGGTGACATAAAATTCAACAAGAAAGCATATTTTCAGTGAAGAGGAAGGGAAAGAAGGGACAAAAAAGTAGAACAGCAGTTTATGGGTATTGAACCCTTTCTAAACCATGGGCTATGCATGTGTTATTTCATCCTCACCACAACTCCATTATGTATGCACAATCGTAATCTCCATTTAGTAGATGTGGAAACGAAGGCACAGATGGGCTCAGGAACTTGTAAATTCCAAACTACTAGTAAGTGGTCACAGATACCAGAGCACCCACTGTATTAAGTACTATGCTATAATTCACCCTAAAATAAAGAAGGCCAGCCAGCCACATAGCCAAGTAGTTAAGGGAACTGGATCTCACATGGCTGACCATGGTTCAGATTCCAGACCTGGCAGCTTGGAAAACATTAGATACGTATCCATGTGAGCCCAAGGTCCTAACAGCATGGAGAAAGGAAGGAGAAGGGATTTCAGCATGACAACATCCCTCCTTCTCTCTCAGTCTTTCTCTGTATTATCTGTCTTTCCATCTCTCTTTGGTGAGAGTATATGACTTCTAGCAATAAAAAAAGAAAGAAAGAAAGAAAGAAAAGAAAGAAAGAAAGAAAGAAAGAAAGAAAGAAAGAAAGAAAGAAAGAAGAAAAGAAAAGAAAAGAAAAGAAAAGAAAAGAAAAGAAAAGAAAAGAAAGAAAGAAAGAAAGAAAGAAAAGAAAAGAAAAGAAAAGAAAAGAAAAGAAAAGAAAAGAAAAGAAAAGAAAAGAAAAGAAAAGAAAAGAAAAGAAAAGAAGGGGCCAGGAAGTGGCATTGTGGTTGAGGTGCTGGATTCCCACATGTCAGACCACTATTTGAGTCCTAGACCTGGCAACCCAAAAATCACAACAAATACATACATACATACAGGCAAAAGAAAAAGGCCAGGGCCGGGGGGTGGGGGGTGGGGATGAAATCCTTGTCTCTTTGTGTCTTTTCCCTGGCCACTACTGTAAAACTTGTGCAGAAAACATAAGATGATAGTGAAATACCACAAAAAGCCAATTTGACCCCTAAATCTTACTGCTCTTTTGGTGATTGCTCTAACTTTCCTAAAGAATTGGTGGTGATGAACAGTTATAAACTATCTCAAGTAGAAATGTACATTTCAGGGGGACCTCCAGGTGGCATGGTGGTTAAGGCACTGAAACTCTCATATGTCCCATATGACCAACCACGGTTCAAGTCCCAGACCTGGTGACTTGCTTTCTCACTTTCCTTCTCTCTCTCTTTCTGGTCAAATTAAAATAATTGAATGAAATTAAATAATTCTTTAAAAAAGTAATTGAATAAAATTAAATAATTCTTTAAAAAACAACAACAAAAAAAGAAAGAAATGTACATTTCAGTGCAGTTTACTAACACTTCTTGTTCTGGTCTAATCAATTTTCATCTCCAAATATTCAGCCAATCAAAATGTTACTAATGTTGCACAGAATACATGAGATCCACTACACAGACTAATTTTCAAGAAAGCACTCTCCTCCCAACTGCAAAGATGTGGCTGCCTGGCAACTTCCAGCTCTGAGCTTTGTCAGTGTCTCTCAGTTTTCAACATGAAAATTGTCTTCCGAGTAGCACCCTGCCGTTGACTGAGCCAGGCAGTAGTACAGGCAATAGCTGTTTTTGCCTGTCACTGGACCTCTGTATCAGGCAAACTTTGCATAGCTCTGTAAGAAACGGACAGAGACTGTCAGCTCAAAATCATGTTGTGACAGCTCCCCTGTCAAATCTTTTTTCCTTTCACAATTATTACTCCAGTATGAATTTCTCACGATCATAACTTTATGTCAGTATCTGTTTCCTGGAGGACCCTACCTAAATCAATACCAGGATATAAAATAATTGATCATTGTTAGTATTATCAAAATTGTGTTCAATTACTGCAACTGAGGAGGTTTCTGCTCCAGAATGACCCTCGGGTACTGTATATAATTAGCATTTTCTCATGTAGACATACGTACTTACAGCTTTCTCAGTAAACATGAGCTTGATATTGTTCTATAGAGTGATAGTGTCAGCTCAGAGGGACCTCTTTGCACATACTGGTTCTGCTGGGACATACTTCCCACTGGGAAACTCTTCCAGAAGCAGAATCGTTCCCTCCAGAGGTAAACTAACTTCTAATAATCCACCATTTTCTCTTCTACTTTCTGACCAAGTATTTTGAGTTGCATACACATATGCCAGGTTGCTTTTTCATTGAGATTTTCATCAGTTAAAAAGCAGTAGACATGCCACATGGCTCCTGAGAACTAGGTTTTTTTGTTTGTTTGTTTGTTTGTTTGTTTTTGAGAGATTTTTCACTGTAGGGCGCGTGCGCTCGCCAGACAGACAGAGAGAGACATAGAGACAGAAAGCAAGAAATCACCCCCCAGGGGGGATGGTCACGCCGCAATCCCTTCTCCTCCATTCTCCTCTCGGGACCTTGGGCACGCACGCACACGCGCCCGGTGTGAGTTTTAAGCCTCCGGGTCCGGGACACGAACTGCGGTCGACTACGTGGGAGTCCAGCGACATAGCTATTACGCTAACTGCTGGTTCCCAGAACTAGGTATTGTAGGGCACACGAGAAATGAAGACTTTCTACTGATAATTCAGCCTCCAGCAAACAAGCTAGCAGCAGAAGAGGCCAGGCTTTCAGAAGGAGATTCCACATGGCTCCTGCGAACTAGAAGGATCTAAGAGCACTGTAGCTATACATCCAAATACTAATAGGGTTAAAATATTCCTCCATATCTACCGAACCTGCTGCATCAGCAATCACAACAGAACGGCAAAGAGATTCTAGATCACCTCTGTCTGCTTGCTCCTGAACATTCAAACTGAACTTCAAGAATTTGAAAGAAACACGCCATCCATCAGATGACAAATCACCGCCGGATAACAAGAAATATGGGAAAAAAAGAAAATACCTCTCCTCCAAGGGAAAAGAGTAACTCTTCTTCATCCACAAGCAGTTCGGTGAAAATCGTGGAAATGTCTGATAAGGAATTTAGAGCATTAATAATGTCGAAGCTAACAGAGATGGAAGAGAAGAGAGATAATGAACTGCTAAAGAGAAAGGAGAAAGAAGTTGATGAGTTCCAGGAAATGAGGAAATTCTTGCAAGATCTAAAAGAGGAACTATATACTTTACAAAAGACTCAAATGGAACTGTTAGAGATGAAGTCTATAATACAGGAAGTCAAAATCTCTCTTGAAAGTATTAAAAGCAGACTAGATCATTCAGAAAA